TTCCTTATGATATTGCATTTCTTGAAATTAAAAGGTGAATACTAAAAGACATATCTGTAGGATGAATGATTGCATATTTAAATGTATTTGTAAGGTGTTTTCATTAATTTTATTACATTGCCTGAGAAATTTCAAAGACTAATAAGTGACAGTGATAACAACGTAACGATTACATAGAGATAAAAGTATATGTGTTAATATTGAAATTCAGGCAAATGATTAAAATGCAAACAGGAAATCATTATATCAAGATCATAGAAGAAACAACATCTAGAGAAACCCCAAAAGCAAACTTAGCCTCTAATTTAAGAGTCAGCCAGGTTTTCAGCCTTGAGCTTAATTAGTAGAACAACTGTGTCTTCAGGGTAACCAAAAGAGATATGGTTAGCATCTGTTTTACGTATTTCAATAAACTATTTAATTAAACATTAATATCAAGTTTAATTAATTTTATATCCCTGTGTTAGATATTGTTGTTCTGTGTTATCCTTTTAGTTTTTATTGTGTATGTATCTAATATGAAATCTCTTTCATTGAGTATATGTATCTAATTAACATACATGTATATGTGAATTAGTCTTCTATTATTTTTAGTATTAATAGAATACTATGTATTACTATCATATATGTATATGATGACAGAGTAACACAGATTATCCCAGAAATCAGGAGACTTAGATTTTAGTTCTGCCCATTATTCACCATATTTTAAACACAAGGTGTATCCCACTAGTGTAAAATGGAAATAACAATCCCGGCTATGCCTACTCGGGAAAGTTAAATATTTAAGACCTCTAGAGGCCATGTCAGTCTTCCTTTCCAAACCTGCCTTCACTACAGAACTGGCCCTTGCCTCTGCTCCCACCAGCCAGTATCTACATATTCTTTTCTAGCCTACAACAATATATCTTGCTATATTATTCATAGATTCAGAGATGCATTTTTAAAACCAATTTAATTTCTGTGAAATTAGGATGTATTTTATCATGGGTGGGGGCTTCTCATCACTGCTGGCTAGCCAACAGCCATGGTTTAGTTGTTACCGTATGTGTGAACTCGGTTCCTGATCAGACAGTGACACTCAAGAGTTTCAGTCCACAAACCCTTTTAGAGCCACTTCAAGAAGTACACTATGTCTCCCATCGACACCTTCTGGTATGATTAAGAAAGTGACAGCATCAAAACTTGGAAAGCTTGGAAGAAAATTCCATTGCCAATTCATTTAATGATATTGTGTGAAAAACACAGACATAAATGGCTCTGAGTTGCAAAGTTATTCAAAAGATTTGAACTCAGAAAGTAATGTTAGAAACATTCCAGCCAATTTATTTTGCTTTCCATTTTCCTTTTAATACATGCACAAGGGTGATATATATTAAAATTTATGTATAAGAAAGTCCACTATAGTTTTAAAATGAGTAAAATAATACAAATTTCAAGTTATAGGTAGCATTGTGTCATGGTTTAATTGGCAGCATTTTAAATTTTGTAGTGGTACGTTAAATAATAGTGCACCTAACAACCGATAGTATCTAGGACTTTATGTGATACATGTGGTTCCCAAGTGGATTTCCAAATCAAGTCTCATGCTTCAGAAATTTCTTTCCTCGCATATCCATTATAGAACACTTTTTCCTAGACTCTTGTTTCTTCTGGGCCTTTCTCTATGTAGATCAGTCAAGTTGGACATTGATACCAGCCTGATAACTTCACAGAAAATAATGGCTTTGTGTGCTAATGGACCAACATAATATATTTGAATTTTGTCAATGATTTTTGGAGCCCAGAAGCCCAAGAGTATGATTCTAATGATAGGTATCTCAAGGACCATGGTCAGCACATGCTTAGACCAATAATTGCTTGTCAATAACAGCAATTCTCAGGTTTTTCCCATATGCCTTTATCTGGGCTCAGTGAGAGAAGCTCTTTTTTATTACTATTGTTACTTATCACTCTGTTTATGTAATAATATGTGTATATTGTAGAAAATGTGTTTACTCATAAATGTAGGAGAAATGGCAGAATGCTCATAATCTTACAAAGAAGACATCTATAATTTACATTTTTTTATAGCTCTTTTTTTGTCATTTCGGTTTTCTTTTAAATTTTTTAACTTTTATTTATTTTGACAGAAAGAGAGCATAACTAGGGGAGGATCAGAGAGAGGGAGAGAGGGAATCCGAAGCAGGCTCCATGCTGTCAGTGTGGAAACTGCCATGGGGCTAGAACTCACGAAACATGAGATTATGACCTGAGTCAAAGTCAACAGTCATTTGCTTAACTGACTGAGACACCCAGGTGACCGACCCACTTTGTTGTTTTTAATATGTTTGTGGGCATGTGTGTATATAATAGTATTTCCTCCTATTTTCATTTAACACTAACAGTTTATCCTGCTATTCAACTCACAGTATACGTTATTTGAATGTCTGTACATTCAATCAAGTACATAGACTTCCTTTCCCAATAGTTATAAATTAGGCTTATTTTTTTTTTTTAGTATTTATTTATTTTGAGAGAGAAAGAGCATGAGTTGGGGAGGGGCAGAGAGAAGAAGAGAGAGAATCCCAAGCAAGCTGACAGTGCAGAGCCCGATGTGGGGCTCAATCCCAAGAACCAAACCGTGAGATCATGACCTGAGCCGAAACCAAGAGTCCAGAATTGGAAGCTCAACCGAATGAGCCACCCAGAATCCCCAGGCTTATTTTTTAATATCTTTGAACACAAACCTTTTTTCTTGCATAATTTTGAATTATTTCCTTAAGATAAATTCATGGATTCAGAATCCTTTATCAAAAAGATAAGTTTCTTTAAGGTTTTGTTTTTATCACCAGATTCCTTTTTGAGAGCTTTTTAAAATTTTTTTTAAAAGTATTTAAAAAATGTTTTTTTCTGAGAGAGAGAGAGACAGTGTAGCAGGGGAGGGTCAGAGAGAGAGAGAGACACAGAATCTGAAGCAGGCTCCAGGCTCTGAGCTGGCTGTCAGCACAGAGCCCGACACGGGTCTTGAACCCACAAACCATGAGATCAAAACTCCAACCAAAGTCGGATGCTTAGCCGACTGAACCACCTAAGTGCCCCTGAGAGCTTTAAAATCCATTTGTAAGTCTCACGGCAATGAGTTAGAGGACATATGCACATTTTCCATCAAAGATGAAAAAATAATTTTTCTAATATTTTCTTCCAGATTCTTTGACTTTCTATCAGTATTAATAAGACCCCTGATGCAACCAGGAAAGAGCCTGGCCCAGACAAGGATGTAGCAAAACAAAGCAAAGCAAATAAGCAAACAAAGCAAAGTAAGACACACAGAGCATGATGGATAATAGAATGTGAACAACATAATTTAAAAGAATCCAGATAAATTCAGGCTGTGATTATAATAACCATTTTTGGCTAAGAATTTCACAATCATTAAGTGTGAAGGGAATTGAAAATAGCTTTATATAATATCTGTGGTGTGTATTTATATTTCTGTGTAAATTGCATAATGTGGTGCTCATGTAAATATCCATGTCTGGGCTGAGATATCACTCTTTTCTATCATAGCTTTCCACTCATAGAAGAGTCTGTCTATAGATATACATTTCCTCCAAGTTCACTTTGAAAACTGAGTCTTCTGGGACATTCACAGTTTCAATATGTTTGCCAAAGGCTTTCTCACTAATCATTTATAGCCCTGGGGATCCGTCACCGCCTGTTTACGTGGCCCTGTTACCGGTGGCCTTTTTCTTTTCTGAGCACTTTTGTGTTCCACATGCTGTGATGTGGGGACAATTAAATGCTACTACTTTAGATGGGAGCAAGACCTGTGTGATCGAGGCACAAGCAGTACATTGTTAACATTTTCTCTTAAGCTATTAAATGTCCTCCCTAACTCACAGAGATCAGCCTTCTCATGTTTATCACTTAGATTAACCTCCCGTGTTAGTTCCACTTACCAAAATCCTAACCTAGTTTGTGATGCATAAGGAAAATGCATCAATTAATCTCCTTAAAACAGGTTATTATTGTTTTAGATGTGTATCTCACAAATCTGATTGTTTCCCCTAATCGTTTCATTGTCTCAATCATACCTTTGACATCTTAACATATCTATAAATAATTCCATACTTATGTATGTATATATCTTTCTAATCCATATCAAAATTTTGATAACATTATTGCAAAATTTAAATTTTGTAATAATAGTATTTTTTCTATCTCTTCTTTTCCAGCTATTAAATTTCTTTTCAGCTTACAAAACATGGCAACAACTTTCCTTAATTCTGGTACACTTAAGTACTTTATCTGCTACAAACAATTTATTGCATACATTTGTAAGAAAACATGTCTGATCTTTTGTGTAACACTAGTATTATACATCACATCCAATCTAACTTGTGTACGCACTGTTCTTCTCAAATTAGTCATTCCAACCTCACTATTGATTCTCTAATATGAGAAAGGATTTTACTGTCTTCATTAAGTTGATCTAACTAATGAGCACCTACTCTTTCTTAAAATATCTATTTACCTTGATCTTGGAGATAATGCATTTGTGGTTATAATTCTACCGTCCTCTAATCTCCTTTCCCATTACAATTACACATAAACATAAAGATCAGGGCAAAACCACCCTAATCTTCAGATCTGGAATTCTCTTCTATTATGGCCTGAATGAAATCAATTTCCATATTTGTATGTTTTCTGTCTTTGACCCTGTGTTAGAATAATGTCCCCGAATTCATTTCCTTCTACTTTGTATGAGCTTGCACCCTCCAGACACTTCATCTACCTGACTCTTTTTCAATTTTTATTTTTAAAAATTTTTAACATTTTATTTTATTTCTTTTAGAGACAGAGACAGAGCACAAGCTGGGGAGGGGCAGAGAAAGAGAGACAGAATCAGAAACAGGCTCCAGGCTCCAAGCTGTCAGCACCGGGCCCAATGGTGGGCTTGAACCCACAAATACAAGATCATGACCTGAGCCAAAGTCAGATGCTCAATTGACTGAGCCACCCAGGTGCCCTTTATCTACGTGACTTTTTTTTAAATACAGTTTATTGTCAAGTTGGTTTCCATATAACACCCAGTGTTCATCCCAACAAGTGCCCTCCTCCATGCCCATCACCTAGTTTCCCCTCTCCCCTACCCCCATCAACCCTCAATTTGTTCTCAGCATTTAAGGGTTTCTTATGGTTTGCCTCCCTCCCTCTCCTTAACTTTTTTTTCCCCTTCCCCTCTGCCATGGTCCTCTCTTAAGTTTCTCCTGTTCCACATGTGAGTGAAAACATATGGTATCTGTCTTTCTCTGCCTGACTTATTTTACTTAGCATAATACCCTCGAGTTCCATCCACATTGCTACAAATGGCCAGATTTCATTCTTTCTCATTGCCATTCTACATGACTCTAAGAGTTGTTCTGTATAGTTCATCTGAAACTTTATTCCTTTTTAAATTACAATGTTACCTGACTAATCAAACTCAAAATTTTCAAATTCCACCAAATGCTACTTCTCTTTGAAATTCCTGCTCTATACTTTCAACTGCTTACTGAGTCTTTTTCATAAACGTGAATTTATTTTTCAAATTCGACACATGCCAAACAAAACTCAGTATTTCCCCCCTCCCCACTTTATCTCATTCTTCCTCCTATATTTTCATTATTGGTAACTGGCATTCTTATCTATTCAAGTTCCCAAAACAGGAAACTGAATATATTTTTCACTCTTCCCTTGTATCTAATATCCAGTTAATCACTCTCTCCTCTTTATTTCCTCTCTTTGCTGATTTCATTCAGACCTTCATCATCTCTCACTTAAAAAGCTGCATAAATTCATACTAACTTTCCCTGCCTTAGATCATAATCTCCCCACAAATCATTCTCAGCAGTGTTACTAAAATTGTCTTTAAGAATGCAAATCTGATCATGTTCTCCAGTTATAAAAAGATAATATCAAACTCCTTAACTTGGCACTGGGATTCTTCAGAATTTGGACTCAGCCAGTCTCTCCAAAACTCAGATCCTCCAAACTCAATCTGTGTTCCAGAAAATAAATGTCAAAATGCTAAGCTACCTGCCATGCTGCGCAAACACTCCCTATTCCTGCTCATGTCATAACACTGGCTGGAATACACATCCCCTTTTCATTGTCCCAGTGTCTTTAAAACTCCATCCAAACGTTTCTTCCCAGGAAGATTTCATTTCACATAGGTATCTCTTTTTGAGTCTTAAGTATTCCTCCTGTATTCTCTTATATCATTCATACCACAGCACATTATAATCACTCAATTGTTTCACCCATGCGAGCTTTCTGTAGAACTACAGAAATGAATAGGTCCACTCTAATTATTTCCACATTCCTCTAAACCAGTACAGTGCCTTGCAACTTGCATTTATGGCTCCTGGAGGAAAATTTATTCAGACCTCTTCCCTACCACTTTCAACACTGCAAGAGATTTGGTGCTGAAGTTACTTAGCTCTCCTCCAGGCAATACTGGCTGATGATTTTCTTCATGGCAATGCTGAAAACAAAACTATGCCCCAACCATTTGTTACCTTAATGAGAGAAAGCATCAACTATGGTCTGAATGTTTGTGTACCTCCCTCCCAAATTCATATGTTGAAATCCTAACCCTCACAATGATGGTGTTAGGAAGTGGGGCTTTTGGCAAGTGATGAGGTCATGAAAGCCAATTCTCATGAATGGGATTAAAGCCCTTATAAACGGGGCCCAAGAAAGCTCCCCCCGCCCAGCCCCATCAGCCATGTGAGGTTATAATGGAAAATGATAGTGGGCTGTCACCAGACATGAAATCTGCCGGTGTCTTGGGCTTGAATTTTGCTGCCTCCAGAACTGAGAGGAATAATTTTTTGTTGCTTATTACTTACCCAGTCTATAAGATTTTGCTGTGGCAGCCCAAATAGACTAAGACAGCATTCCTTGTCATAAAACAAATTTAAAAAGTTATGCTAAGATAAAGATCCTTTGTATGAATGAAGAGATGGATGGTTTCAGCTTGTGTAAAAGCCACACAACACAAGTTTTGAAAATAAGTAATCATCCAGTAAATGGTTTTACAGAAACTTTACCTCTTGTTATATACATTGCCATATGTCTCTCTAAGCCAAGAAACATGACCACTTGTAAAACTTTATGTAAAAGATATTCTAACTTAGAAAAGATCAGGATGGATTATCTATACCAGACAAGCATTGACATAATTTCAAACCATTTTCCATAGATGCTGTGTTACTGCATGGGATCTGGGTACTAGCTTGGTCATGATCACATCTCTAGTTGCCTTAAAACCACCTGTAGTTTCTGAGACTCTAATTCCATCAGTTTTATTACTCTGTCTCTCCAATGAAGAAAATAACAAATGTCAGCTGTTTTTACCTTCCTCTCAATTTCAAGGACAAAGTTCCACTTTTCATAGGCAACATGCAGGATTGGAATATAATCTTTTTAGTCAGGTACTCTATCGTTCTCTTTAAAAACATAGTTTCCAGAGGCAATGAAACTAGTGGAGGTTTCTCGGTCTGACAAACCTAGTTTGAATTCTGACTCTTTATATAGGACACTGTGAGACTTTTGCCAATTTAATCAACCCATCCAACCCTGGCTTTCTCATTTCTAAAATAGGAATAAGCGTATTGATTCAGGAGCATGCCCTGATGTTTGCTTGCTTAATATCCATTTCTAACTCTTTTTTCCTAAATTCTGACAATATTCAAGTATCTACCCTTCATCCACTTAGTCATTTATCTTAAGTAAAGCTGATGTAACCTCAGAGATATGTCTAATTGTAATCCCATTCCCTCTACCAATGACTGTTTTGGGAATAGACATATGTAAGTATGTCTCAATTTCTAACACTCTCTGGACTATGATATATCTTATTCAACACTTTTTTGAAAAGTTATAATTGCCCCAATGCTGTACATTCATTGGAGGGAATGGGGATGAAAATCATTTGCTTAGCCATCACCACCAAACCGACTCCTTCTTTTTTCTCCCAGTTCATTCTGGGATCTTACAAATGTTAAAAACTGAGGATCCTTTGAAATGTCAGTGGTTTTCTCAAATGTTTTGTTTAGAATGATTCCATAAATTGGAGGCATATCTGATCTCACTTTGTGCTGCCTCTGCCTACATGGAGCTGGACAGGGCGGCTATGAGTAGAATGGGTGTTGATAGGAATGGAGAGTATGGCCAGGGATTATATAAGAGGTTTTATCTTTTTATAAATTTGATTAAAGTTTTAAAAACAACCCCACAAGGTTATCTGGTAACTCCATCAAAGTACATATATGCACCTGCATGAGCACGTGTGTGCGCGCGCACGCGCGCACATACACACACACACACACTCACTGTTTTCACCCTGGAAAATAGCTCTCAGCCTTTTCCATGAAGGGCACATTCATCTTACTGTATTCTCATTGGGCTCCCTCATGTGGACATACAGTGATTGAAGCAACGGACAAATGAGCTCTCTCTAAACCATAGGACTCTCCTTTGACCATAGGCTATGGTAACAGCAGCTTCAGTTTGTTCTACCATATTTCAGAATCATCACGCCCTAGGGTCTATCTTTTTCTTTGAAATGCTCTCTAAATATATCTGTATATAAATGTTCCAGGCAAACTTCTATTACCATTACCTTCCAAATATATTATTTGGTCTTTCTTAATCTGGCCCTGACCCCCACACCTCAGACCATCTTTTACTATCATTTTTATTTGCCTCACATTTCTGAGTGCTCTTCTCAGCAGAGCTGGTCACAGAAGGGATATAAGCAAAATCTTAGAGGTAAAAATCTTTCCCCAAGCCCTGCTTCCTGAGATATGAAGTTATATAGAGCTGTCAAAGTAGACCAGGATGGGCCCACTGAGGGTTCACTGGCAGAGTCAAGCAAGGAATTCACTGAAATAGAAAATTACCTTTTACCTAGGAAAGGGGTCATATGGGCTAAAATCAGAGCTTAGAACATGAGCATAAGAGTTCACAGAGGTAGGGCTTTTTCTGGAAGAGAGAGCACCTAAGTTTGAAAAGGAGAAGAAAGAAGAGAGAGAAAAATATATATTATATGTAGTTTATAAGAAGAAGATACATATATCATATATATATAATATGTAAGATATAGAGTGTATAATATAAAGGCAATAATATATAACATCTATCTATTTACAATTTTCTATGTATCTATGTATATATCTATTTTTCCGTCCATCATCTATCTATCTACTGAGAGAAATCTACCTTTAGGAAAAAAAGAGCATGTCTTAGTGCTATGGTTTGGCAAACGATGCCTGAGCACTAGTGTTGTGACTATGAAACTCAACTTTTGTGCTTCTCTGCAGCCCGTGCAAGCATTTGAACCAGCAAGAGCATCATCTCAGAGAAACAAGACCGTAAGATCAAGCTACATTTTCAAAACAACAGCACAACAAGAAGCAGTGGTAGTAGAGGACTATTAAAACTTTAATTTTATATCATATTGGCATTTAGAAACAAATACCTCATTTTTATCTGACAAGAATTTTGGGGTAAGTTAAGGCAGGCTCCATTCTTCCTGTTATGGAAATAGGTGTTTGGATGATAACATCTAAAGTCTAAAGCCAAATAAAGCTAGCATAACCCAATTGTGTTGTAAAAATTATATAAGGAAATATCCAAGCTACCTGCAGTACATTACGAGAACAATTTCATCTTCCACTTGAAGCACAAGGAAAAAGCAATTAATAAAACTGTTTCAATAACTCCTCCAGCTAATGAAAAAGATTGCTTACCAAGCAAGAGGTACAACTTTGATAAACATTGAAAGGTGGTTGACATGCTATGAAGGTATGTATAAGACACATGTCACACTGCAAGGAAGTATGATTTTGAGGGAAAGATGCCTGCATAAATATTTCTGTGAAATTAGAAGCACTGAAGACACCATTATGCCAACAGAACTGACTTTTACCATTACCATGGTAGGTTCAAGAATTTTAAAAAGTACTTTTTTTTGGCATGATGTGAACTTAACAGAGGAGTCGGTATCTGATAATCATGCTCTTGCAGATGGAGTTACTCCCGAGAATTTAAAACAAAACCTATCGAAGGAAATATTATAGGTCAGGGCAAATGTTCAACACAGAGGAATCTGGTCTGTACTAGAAGGAAGTGCCTTGGGAAAGATGTATATTCAAGGAAAAGCAGGAGGCAGGGTTGAAAACAGCCAAGATTTATCTTTGTGGAAATACGGTAGACATTTTGATTACTTTTGGCTCTTCCAATCCCATTATATTAAAAATTAAGAAGAAAAACCTCTTTCACACATGTATAGAGTCTAATGGAAATAAATTTTGTTGTGGCACAACTCTTTTTTCTTTATTTCATAACATTTCCATGGTAGAATGGGAAAAAGTAACCTGCTTCACAAATCTTTAGGTTAAGATTGTGCACATGATAGGGTTTTCTATATTTGCATGAGAAAGATATGTTTTAGTGATTTCATATTACCAAGTTCCTCAAGGTAAATTTTTCCAGACAATCAATGATCAGTTTTTCTGTAAAAAGGAGAAACTAATTGGTGATGAAGTCTATCTGCCCCACATCAAAGTTAATGAGCCCATTCAATAATACGAAAGCTTTGGTAAACAGGGTGCATTTCTGAATAATGGTAAGGGGACCAGTGGTCACATCTGAGTGTCTGTTTTGCTTTAATATGAACATTTTCTGAGCAAGGCAATAACCTTATGATCTGTGCTATAAGGAAGGTTTGAGAAGCATCAATATATAAAGAATGCTTCTCCAAAGTTAACCTTGACAAGTTCATCTATAAATATCAGTTAAACTGTCTTATGTGAAGCAATCCTAGTCACAACCAACTGCTTGAAGAGGTGGCTTTATTTTTTTTTTAATGTTTACCTATTTATTTTGAGAGAGAAAGAGAAAGCCATCAAGGGAGGGACACACACACACACACACACACACACAGGAGAGAGAGAGAGAGAGAGAGAGAGAGAGATGGAGGCGGGGAGAGAATCTCAAGCAGAGCCCCACATGGGACTCCAGCTCATGGACTATAAGATCATGACCTGAGCTGAAACCAAGAGTCGGACAGACACTTAACCAATAGCCACACAGGTGCCCTGAGGAGGTTGCTTTAGAAGAAATTACAGTCACTGTAGAATCAAAGCTGGAATATTAAGCATTTTATTAGACTCATTACATAAAGAGAGCTTATTTCAATGTTAAATAAAACTACTAATAAATGTGAACTATAGCTATCCATCAGAAGTCAAATGGTCAGAGGTCAGCTTGACAGTTACTTTTAGGTTGTTTAGAAAAACAAAAAGAAGAGAGTAAAGAAAATAAAGGAAAGAACAAGAAAGATGAGAAGAAAAAAAGAGAAAGAAAAAAACAATGGAAGAAGAAAAGAAGAAAAAAAAAGAGAGGTTGGGCCCAATAATATAGGTCCAGTAACCTAGAATTTGATCAATGAAATTATTCTATTAAGATCTTTAAGGTCACTTAAAAATTAATGTATATACACTTGGGATTTTACACTGCTGGAAAATTACTTGGTATTTATTACCACATAATTCCCTGAATATCTTAATTCAGGGTATGTATATATAGATAGATTTTTTTCCAATTAAACCATTTACCTAATATTTGTCTAAATATACAAAGGTAAGCAGCATCTTTGTAATTCTCAAATTATCTGTCCCCCAATCACCAAGGGATCAAGACTTAAAAAAAAAATTAATCCTCAGGAAAGAAATGACATTTTTGGATGTCTTGGTAGTGCCATATTGCAATTAAAGTTTAAACAAGTACTCTCAAAGAATGTATTGACTTTGCCATGGACTGTGTTAGTTTGCAGTCTTCCACGCACCTGCAGACCAGACTTTATGAAGTATTGTTTTAAAGAATATATTTGTGGGGGTAATATTTTTTCCTGTGTTGGAGATTTCCTTGTGTCAGTACAGAATTAATGCTAGAGAAAAATTTCTAACATCTTATAACACCTAGCTATTCAGATCTTATATTAAGGTGTGTGTTTTTCATCAGTTTGTTGGCATATCCAAACAGTGCATATCTGACATTTTGGGACACGCAATGCTATTTAGGTAACTGTGTTATGTGACAAAAAAAACAAACACCTTCTTTTATAGCTTAAATTTATGACCTAATTTATATGATAGTACATTGTGGCTTACAGTTTGGAGAGACCAAATTTTAATTATAACCAGAAGGGAATCTGATTAAGAAAGGATGATCTTGATATACTCAGCGAGGATAATAAATAGCTTCTCATCCCATCAGCATTAATAGAGAGTGTCCATAACAACACAACACTTCATCTGACAGCTTATAATGAGTCTGTAAGGTTCTCACCCTGTCTAAAAGCTTGTAGAGGTTTTATATTATCTTAAATTTGCTGCATTTCTACACAAATAATTCTCTAATTGCTGCATAAATTTACATTTTAAGCTTAACAGCAACTTAAACAGCTTCTAAACACCATTGATATTCAGGATGGTGTCTAATGCACATCAAGACAACAAAACATTTCTTGAGGCTCAGAAAATTATCCATCCAATTATTTCTATAAATTTATCATCTCAAACAATCATTGAGGCAGCGCTGTTTAGCCCTTTGCTCTTTTTCTTCTTGAACATATTCATTCCTACAATAGATAAATGTTATTAGCAGTCCGTGGTCTAAGAAAAGAAATAGATTTGAGATAACAGATCATATATATATGTATGGCATGTTAATTCAAGATATTCAATACTGTAAAAATTTTAGTTGTCTAAGTGAAACTCTACAGTTGTATTTAACTAGATGATAATTTGCTTTATTTGTGGAAAATACGCACATGTACCTACCTTTGGACAAATTCAAGTTGTGGGACAAAACCAGTTTTAAGAGAAAAACTGAATAACCTTGAGCACACATTTGTTTCATCATTAATTAAAATATTAATGCATTTAAAAATGTAGACAAGTTGGAGTCATGAAATTAAATATATTTTTCCAAATCATTTTTCTTCTTAATATCAAAACATACATACATATATATGTAGATGCATGCACATACGTGTTATATGTAGGCAATTTAGTCCCACTCAATAAGCAAGTCTTTTTTCCTAATAGATGTGCTATGCTTCTGATGAAATTTATATAATTTTGTGACAGGATAATTTATGTAAAATTCTGGTTTATTCCAAAGTCTCTTATCTTGGTCTTCATTTTAATTGCATACTTTGTTTTCTACCAATGCTTAATGCCCTGAATGTATTATCTTCTTACATACAATGTTTCTATCTATTGATGTACTTCCAGGGTGAAATAAAAGAAATTCTGATGATCAGTTCAGATTGATTTTTATTACTTTGTTACTAAATATAACACCTTACCCTTTAAGCAAAGCTTCTTAAAGGTAGTTATTGCCTCCTGGTTAGTCCTAAGCTGACTGTACTGTACCTTCTAGCAATCCCAATAAAACTTCTCTTGTTAAGGTTATCATTGATTCTAGCTCCTAATTCAAGAGTCACTTTTCAGTTCTTAATTTATTTGAATAGTCTGTATTTAATTCCATTCCCTCTTTCCCTCTTGTAAGTCCCCTCTCCTTTTGCCTCTTTGTGACACTGCTCTCTTGTACTGAAGAGACAGTGCTCCTACTCAGTGACATTTGAGGACATTTATTGATCGATCTATTCAAGTGGATAGTGTCACATAAAGTTCAGTTCTTAGAATACTTTCCTTCTTACATACTCCTCAGAAATCTTTTTTGCTCCCATAGTTTTAATTACCATACCTAAGTGGATAACTGATCATTTCTTTAGTAATGAGAGACTAGGCATTTTGTAGTAATGAGCTAGCTCTCCATCTCTCCATCTTATCCCACTAAAGGCTAAATAAACAGATAAGCTAGGGGTCAGTACTCTTTACAGTCACTCAAAGGAAGTGGTGAATTATACATTGCCTCTTAAAACTTAAAACATCTTTGTAGATATAACGTATATTAACGCTCATCACATTTTATTGCCACAGCTTCCCTTACAACAACAGAAAAAAAAGCTAGAATATTTGTGAATAGCTCTAATATCCCCCAACTTCTACTTCACATCAGATCTCAAGACTTATATATTGTTCTGCCTTTTGGAAGCCTCTACTTATACTCCTATATGAATCTGAAACACGTATCTAACATGGACATCTTATCTCTACACTCATGTTAGAACACCCCCTTTTTTTTCTTTCCTGTATTAATGAATGTCATTTATTGTCTATCTGGTTGCTTACGCTAGAAACCTAGGATACCATTCTCAATTTGCCATCAGAATGATCTACCTAAAATTAACTTTCCCATACAAAGTCCTTTGTATTGACACACCTTGTAAATAAAGTACAATTTAAAAGTAATTACTCTAGCAAACAGGATTTTCATTATCTTGCTTGAGTTATCTCAGAAAACTGAGGACCCACTACTATACAATTTGCAACTTATGCTCTTTCCAAATTGAACTATGGATTCTCTCTCGTTCCTGAAACTTTCTCATGTTATTTTTTTGCATTTGGCATAAAGGTCTGGAAGATCTTTCTCAGGACTGTGCTAAACTAATTCCTGATGGTCTTTTCTTTCTCAACACACACTACCTTTTGTGGTGAACCTTCTCTGACTTCAGATCTCCTGTCTAATCTGAGGCACACACAGTGCACTCAGTTCATCTCTTCTGTTGAAGTTTATTCACTTATATAATCATTTGTTAATCACAAATATTGTTTGGGTACCTGCTATAGAAATGATCCTTAACGTCATAAAAAATAAGGAGAATTAATTAGAGGTAGGTGGGGAACACAATAAAACCTTAAATAGATATATACACAATATAAGTGTGTGCCATGGTACCACATTCTAAAAAAAAAAAGATAATAATGTTTTTTTATTTACTTTTGAGAGAGTGAGAGACAGAATATGAGCAAGGGAGGGGCAGAGAGACAGAAGTAGACACAGAATCTGAAGCAGGCTCCAGGCTCTGAGCTGACAGCACAGAGCCTGATGTGGGGATCAAACCCAGGAACCATGACATCATGACCTGAGCCAAAGTTGGACACTAAACCACTTAACTGAGCCACTCAGGCACCCTGCCATGGTATTACTTTTAAGGAAATAAAAATTCATGTGATAGAGAGTATCTGGTAGTGTTGGGAGGTGCTTAATAATAGAGAAGCAGCTTCACTGAGGAGATAATAGTTGAACTAATAATAACAGAGTCATCTTTATAAACCAACAAACATAACAAAAACTCCATACCCAAAGATTAGGAGGCAGGAAAGGCCTAGTTTAAGGAACAAAAGGGAGATTAGTGTGTTCCCCTTAGTAAGCAAGAAAGAGAGAGGCTTGAGATAACTCAGAACAATATCATATAGGGCCTTATAGGTCAAAATCAGCTTTATCTTTACAGTAATGGGAAGCCCTTTGAGGGCATGAAACTGGAAAAGAGGTTGGTAAAAGGGAATAGATAGAAAGTGAAATGATCTGATTCATAATTTTGAAAAATATACTCTGGCTCTTCTGTAATCATTGAATTATAGAATGCAAAGAGAACATAGGGGGACCATTGGAAGTTGACTGTTGTAATCCTGTGGAAAGACGTCATGTTTTGGCATATAGCATCATCTGTGTTATCATCATACTATAGTACATCATAGTGTTCCACAATTTTCTGTTATATTTATGTGTGTGAACTTCATGTGGGCATAATGTTGGCATCTCAAAGGCATAGCATCGTGATCCATGGATAAAAATCTCTTAATTGGGGTGCCTGGGTGGCTCAGTCGGTTGAGCATCTGACTTCAGCTCAGGTCATGATCTCACGGTTCATGGGTTCAAGCCCCACGTCAGGTTCTGTGCTGACAGCTAGCTCAGAGCCTGGAGCCTGTCTTTGGATTCTATGTCTCCCTCTCTCTCTGACCCTTCCCTGCTCATACTGTCTCTCTCTCTCTCTCTCAAAAATAAATAAAAAACATTAAAAAATGTTTATATCTCTTAATAATATTAGCTAAATGAGTTAGTAGATTAAAAGATCAAAAAGAGTGAAATAATTATTGATGCATCTTAAGTTTATTTTTATAACATTGTCTTCACATATAATTATCCACTAATTATACATTAAAAATAACTTTGAAGAGCTGTTGGTTTACTTTTCAGAGATAAATAATTTGAAGAAAACCTTAAAATTGCCATGAAGTGGTTATTGGATAGCTTTAAACAGTTTATCTTTTTGTTCTGGGAGGAATTGTAAATAAGACAGAGCAGAGAGACAATTGTAAGGCTTAAATGTACAAAAAGCTTACGATTGACTCATATGCATCAAATAGTTTATTTTTGTACATAAAGAAACTCATGGTGGTATCTGGGTGGTTCAGTCAGTTAAGCGTCTGACTTTGGCTGAGGTCATGATCTCATGGGATCTTGGGTTTGGGCCCCTGTGTTCTCTGCTGACAGCTTGGAACCTGGAGCCTGCTTTGGATTCTGTCTCCCTCTCTGTCTCTCTGCCCCTCCCCCTCTCATGCTTTCCCTCTTTCTCTCTCTCTCTCTCTTTCCAAAATAAATAAACATTATAACATTTAAAAAAAAACTCATGGATTTGGAACAGACTTCTTTTCTTTTCTTTTTTCTTTTCTTCTCTGTTTCCTTCTTTTTTTCTCCTCCTCCTTCCTCTTCACCTACCCTTCTTCCCCTTTCCCTCCTACACCCCCCTCCATCTTCCCCTTCCTCTCCTTCTCCTTTTCTCCTCTTTCTTCTCTTCCTCCTCCCTCTCTTCCTCTTTCTTCTTCTTCTTCTTCTTTCCTCCTCCTCATCCTCTTTTTCTTTATAAAGTATTTTCACTATGAGGCTTTTCACCAATTGCTCATTTAAATGAGCTGAGAACTGAATGGCTTTTGAGTTTGAGGTAAGATCATAAGAGCCTTACTCTCTAAGGATAACAGTGAATTTAAGATGAAGAGTTCAGCAGAACAGAACAGATTAACAAGGAAAGAATATTTGAATGTTTAGTGATGTGGATGCATTGAATGGAGAAAAATCCCCGCTTGCCTACAAGGAATTTGATTGTGCGTGCTCCTGGAAGGAGTAGATTGTATCTAGGGGTAATGGCATCTTTGACAGTTTCTGGTTTATACATAAGCACTAAAAAAAACCCAAAAACAAAAACAAAACCCAAAAAACAAAACAACCCCCCCCCATAAATCTGTTGAATTAAATTTGGAGATGAGGGGCGCCTGTGTGGCTGAGTAGGTTAAGTGTCTGACTCTAGATTTCATTATTTCAGCTCAGGTTCATGGGTTTGAGCCCTGCATTGGACTTTGTGCTAATACCATGGAGCCTGCTTGGGATTCTTTGTCTCCCTCTCTTTGCCCCTTCCCTGCTCAGGCTCTGTCTCTCTCCCTCTCTCAAAACAAATAAATACACATTAAAATATAAAATAAAATAATGGGAAAAAATAAATTTGGAGATGATAAAGGTAAATAAGGATGTTTGGTGTGATTTGATCTTCACTGGAATTAACTGCATAAGTGAAAAGAGGCATAGTTTGATAGTCTGATGTTCAAGAGAAAAAGTAATGCAAAGAATAAAGCAATCAGTGCAAAAGAGCTTAGAGAATTCAAAAGAGCTTAGAGAATTTTTGCACTGTTGATAAAAATTAGAAAAGTGAATTAGAAAACAGTTTGCAGAGGATAAAAGATTAAATGAAGTAAAATAAACAGTAAAAGAATTTAAAAAGGTAAAAGAGTCTTCAAGGTGATAAACATAGATTATAAACAAAGGTGACTCTAAGTAGGTGAAGAGAGAAAATGGTCTATTGAAAAGTTTTAAGATTATTTTTAAAATGTAAATTTCCCCTCTAAATCTGATAAACATTATTACTTAAATATTCTGCATTCTTAAGAAAAAGGAATATATGTGGGGTTTTGATATGTATGGCAACATTAGCCTGCACCCAAAGTGAAAGTCTTTAACTAGTAAAATTGTCCTCATTTTAGCAGTCATGATTTTTAATCTTTTGTTTATTCAATTTATTTTTTTATCACTCTACTTTCATAAATTGAGCATTGGCTTTTGTTATTGGTTTTCTAGGGAGCAGGCCTTTATTGGAAAAAATCAGCAAAAATATTTGAACTAAGCATTTAGCAATCAAGATAATTTTCTTTTCTTCCTTTCTTTTTTTCAGAAGGCTATTGAAAGATAAAGGGTCTAAATCATTACACAGGGCTCGTGCATGTATTTGGAATCACATACCTTTTCAGCATAAGAATTATCTTATCCATTGTGGGCTTTATTTCTTAATTAAAAGAAAACAGCATAATTCAACTAATGATCATAGTTTCTTAATATTTGTTTAAAGAACAAGTCACTTAAGAATCTAATTTATTGGGAGAGACATCTCTGTGGTATGTTTGTGTAGATGTGCACAGAGAATAAAAACTACTTAGAATAATAACACTCTTTCTTGCATTCATTTTCTGGCTTTTTCTCTATAAAATAAATACTTCAGTCATTTGACTCTATTAACTTAAAATTTCTAATAATATTGTTAGTCACTGAATGGAAGATTACCTTATATTACATATGAATGAATTTAATCTCAAAGCCATTATTTTCAAATTTCTCTAAATATAAAAATATTTGATTATTTAGTAAGAAGACTGTGAGCCCACATCAGGGACAAACAAATGCTCTTGACATTTGCATAATTTTCCTTCTAAACATTCATCTACTTATTTACAAATAAATGTGATTAATATTGATCAAACGATCTTGTATCTGCTTTTTCATTTAACAGTGTCTCATGTAAACAATGGTTATTTCACAATGTTTGCAAACACAGTTTTAATGACTGCAACATATTTCAATTTTATAGTTTTGTAATGACCTCCTTAACTATGCTTCCTTTGCTGAACATTTCAATTATACTTTATTTTATTTTATTTTATAATTAGTTCTAATATAATAGCTTTAAATGCAAAGCCCTTGACCTTCTATATCAGATGACTCACTCTTTTACTTGAAAATGCCATACTTTGGCTCAGGTCATGATCTCAGGGTTGATGAGTTTGAGCCCCATATGGGGCTCTCTGGGGTCAATGCAGAGGCCACTTCAGATTCTCTGTCTCTTGCTCTCTCTACCCTTCTCCTTCTCACATGCTCATACTAAATAAATATTAAGAAAATGCCATAAACAAACTCAAACTACTCTGAATTAAAACAAAAAACAAAGATGGTGTGTTGGGAGGTCTGCTTGACAAACTGTTGGGTCACAGAATATAAACAGTTTAGAAATAAAACTGAAAGAATTCCAAAACCCTTGGAGTACATGACGCAGAGACACCGTGTTAATCCTCTTTGAATTTTTTGCTGTGCACAAGGTTGTATATTGACTTCCCTCTTCTCTCTTTCCTCTTGGGTACATGGAGTAATGGAGTTACAGCTTCAGTCTTCCTAATATCTTTAATCACAGGTAAGAAGCTCACACAACTTCTCTCTGTCTTATTCCAGACACAGAAATCCAGGAAGGATGTCCACTTGGGCCTTACACTCATCACTGAACCTCCATACTTGCCAGGAGGGGAGCAGGCTGCTGTGAATAATCCAGCTGGAGCCAGGTGTCCCCCTGGACAGATGCCATAATATCACATCTTTGGTTTTGTTTAAGCTAAGTGCACACAGGAGGTGTAGGCAATTTTGAAGGACCCTGTGACAGACAAGCCACAGCACCAGAGGAATCTCCATTATTCTGTTGGCTGGAAACCAGATCCTTCCTAGGGCAGGACGTTCCTGAAACAACTTGGACACTATGATAGGTAGAGTTGTTTGGTCCTAATCGATCGGTTGAGGAAAGAGGAATGCAGGTGAGATCTTTCTAAATAAGATGTTATTAAAACAAAGTAAGTTGTTAGTAAACAAAAGTAAGCTTTCTGATGAGCCTCCATCTGAAGTCTGAGACTTAATATATTACCAGTGAAGTCAAGAACACAGTGTCTTGAGCACAACTGAAAACTCAGCCACAGTAAAATTCTGTTAGAATGAATGGCAATATAAGTGCCTGGACTAGTCCTGGAAAACTTAACATACAGAATGACTTTTGAACATTCACACATGATTCCTCCTCATCTCCTGGGATGTGGCACTTATGAAACTAAGAGGGGGAATCTAAACCAGGGACTCCTCCCTGGTTACTATGTTTAAGTCATATAGAACCATGCTGGGGCTCCTGGATGGCTCAGTCGGTTAAGTGTCCAACTTCGACTCAGGCCATGATCTCATGGTTCATAGGTTCGAGCGCCGAAGTCTGGCTCTGTGCTGACATCTAGCTCAGAGCCTGGAGCCTGCTTCAGAATCTGTGTCTCCTTCTGTCTCTGACCCTCCCCTGCTCACACTGTCTCTTTCTCTTTCAGAAATAAATAAAACATTAAAAAAAATTTTAAAAAAAAAGAACCATGCAGCACATTTTCCTCTTTGCACCCAGCCACCCAATTAAAATCTGCATGTTAGCAGCATGTCTGGGATAAGCAGATAGGACCATCCTGCTTATGAAGTTAGGGATACATTCTTTACTCCTAGTGCCACTCACCCTGCCCCACCGCCATCAGATGTACTCAATGTGCTCTGAACAGAGATATATCTTAATAAACATCATCATTTTTAAAAGGTTTATTTATTTTTGATAGAGTGCAAGCAGGGGAGGGGCAGGGAGAGGGGGACAGAGGATCTGAAGCAGGCTCTGCACTGACAGCAGTGAGCCTGATGTGGAGCTGAACTGATGTGGAGATCATGACCTGCACTGAAGTCAGATGATCAACCGACGGAACCACCCAGGAGCCACAAACATCAACTTTTTAAAACAAACTTTATCCAGTATTATAGGTGGCCACATTTCTCAATTTGCATGAGCCCCAAGAGACTAATGAGAGAGAATTTGAACTCTGTTCACACACTAAATATGCCAAGACATACCTTACAAAGTTTAGGGAGCAAAAGGAAAGCCAGAATGTGGGAGAAGTGATACACTCTTTAAGAGAAAACAGCCTGTGGGGCACCTGGGTGGCTCAGTCAGTTGAGCATCCGACTTCGGCTCAGGTCATGATCTCATGGTTAGTGGGTTCGAGCCTCACGTCGGGCTCTTGCTGACAGCTCAGAGCCTGGAGCCTGTTTCAGATTCTGTGTCTCCCTCTCTCTCTGCCCCTCCACTCCTCATGCTCTGTCTCTGTCTGTTTCTCAATAATAAATAAATGTTAAAAGAGAGAGAGAGAGAGAGAGAAACCAACCAGAGTGAAGGAATAATCTGCCAGGGTAAAGTGGAGTGAGTGTCAGTTCATGGAGGCTTCAGGCTCTCCATTAACTCCTGCCTCACAACCACCAGGGCTCTGGGGTTTCAGTGCCCTGTACTGACTGAACACTTGACTAGCAGAGACTTCAAGTACTGTGTGTTCGGAAAAGCTCTCTGAAACTCAGGATTAAAATAGCAAATATTTTTGGTACACACAGTGACTCATGCCTCTTAAAGCTTCTGGAAAGAGACTGGCAGACACCACTGAAAAAGACTTAGATACTTGGGATCTTATAAGGTCTGAGACCCCTGTTCCCCCACCAGGTAAGGCAGGACTCTGGGTCTAGGACTCACAAGATAGCCCCATGCAGGTTCTGAGATTCTTGGCAATGCCTGGCGACAGAATCTCTGGGTGAAGTGAGACTTTCTGAAAGACACGTAGATGAAATTTCATTCCCAAGATTCAGGATATAATTGTAAAAGTGACACATTGTATACACCTCTTAAACTCAAAGCATATCAGGAACTCTAAGGAGAATCAAGTATTTATCAAATCCATGATTGGCAAGAATTTTCTAAATTTAAAAGCGGTAGAAGATATCATGAAGGCACACACACATACATTTGATTACTGAAGAAGGAAAAGGCATTTTTGCATCATAAAAATCCATCCAAAATAAAAAGATAACCAACCAATAGTAAACAAACTGCCATAAATGTAACAAAATTATTCTTAATATGCTTACAAAAATTTTTTTAAATTTTTAAATGTTTGTTTATTTTTGATAGAGAGGGAGAGAGAGAGAGAGCATGAGCAGGGGAGGGACAGAGACAGGGAGACACAGAATCCGAAGCAGGCTCCAGACTCTGAGCTGTCAGCACAGAGCCCAAAGTGGGGCTTGAACCCATGAACTGCGAGATCATGACCTGAACCAAAGTCGGATGCTTAACTGACTAAGCCACCCAGGTGCCCCTGCTTAAAACAATTTCAAATTGTTTAGAAAAACAAAACACCAGTGTAAGTAATATGGTGAATATCTACCAATTTTAGAGAAAAAACTATTTTTGTACCTACACACACACACACACACACACACACACACACACTTAAGTGTATATGTATTATTGCCATACAGCAATGTATTTTAAATTAAAAAGACCATTGCCATTTCTTATATGTTATCTTTGCAGTAAAAACTATTCTTAAGAGATAAATATGGTTTTCTTTTCATGAGTATTTTGAAATTATATCTTTTTAAACATATTCTCAAATTGCTGTTTTTAAAATTTGCATGTATCAGCTTATATTTATATCACCTGGTTGAAGCATAAGATCCCTATCACTTGGGTTAGCTCACATGTAAGGACAACAAATTACACTTCCTACTCCATGATTTCCAGGACATTATCTGGGAATGAAAAGTTTAGTAATAAAAGCTTTTAAAGCTCACATATTTCAGGAGTAAATTTCTATAATGCTGCCCTATGCGGGATGCATAATCCTGGGACTCAAATCTATAAGAGCAATAAGGCCTAATACCTGCAAATATGAGCACCTCTGAGCGTTATACAGATACTGGAAATTTATTCTTCATCAATCTGCTTATTCAACAAGTAGGTGTCTGGTTTTTCTCTGTGCCAGAGGCTATACCTGGGTACACAGATGAGTAAGAGTATTCAGGAGTGTTCTCTAGTTGCTTACAATGAGGAAAGATCAACAATATTATTTGAGTTTCTTTTGAGGTTAATTAAGTATACACACACACACACACACACACACACACACAGCAGCTCCACACTGTCAGCACAGAGCTTGGCACAGGAGTTGATCTCATGAACTGTGAGATCATGACCTGAGTCAAAATCAAGAGTTAGATATTTAACGGACTGAGCCACCCCAATGTTCTTGTATGGGTGCATTTTTTAATGAACATACTTGTGAAGAATACGAAGAATACAAGTTTGTTTAATATTGATAATAATGATATCAATATTTGGCATTTTTTGTGCTTTCACTGTGTGTCAGGCACTGTTCTGTGTTCTATCATGTATATCTCTTGATATTTTCACAAAATCGTAAGATATTGAGGTACAAAAAATCCTTTTCTCTGTTATTGCAGTTCTATATATACAAGAATATTTGTTATGGACTCAATGTGTGTGTCCTCTAAACATTTATATGTTGAAATGCTTACCATCCCCGCCAACCTTCGTCTCCCATGCCACAATCAATGTGATGACATTAGGAGGTGGGACATTTGGGAGGCAACTAGGATTAGATGAGGTCATGTGGGTAGAGCCCTCACAGATGGGATTGGTGCCCTTATAAGAATCAGAGAGTGTTTGCTTCTTTTCTCTGTCTCCTTCACGTGAGTGTCCAAGTCAGTGCTCTGCACCCCGTAGAGGACCCTCACGAGAACCCTGGATCCTGGCACCCCGCTTTTGCACTTCCAGCTAACAGAACTGTGAGAAATACATTTCTATTGCATATAATCCTACCCAATCTATGGTACTTTGTTACAGCAATCCAAACTGACTCACATAACCTCTGAAAACAGAAAGCAATTTTCATTTATTGTATGATGCAATTTATTTGGTAGAAAAAGTCAGACTGAATTGATTTGAGGTTAATAATAGTCTTTAAACCTACTCAGTGTGAAAGTTGGTATGTTTAGCTGAAAAAATATTGTCTTTTGTTATGAATAATGTTGTGGTTGTTATGAAATATATAGAATATGAGTGAATTACCTCACTACCATACAGTTTCAACTGAGAAATACATATAGCTCCAAGGGTTTTGGAAAAGATATTGTAGAACTGTTTATCCCATTTACTAATGAGGATACTGAGGCCCAAAGTGGTCAAGAAACTTAACCAGGGTCACATAGGTTGTAGAACTAGTATAGAAACCCAGTCTTAGATGGCTAAAAGTAATTTTCCTAACTATACTTCAGGAATGACTAATCTATCCACATACAAGTAAAGTATTGAATAGACATTAATGAATAAATGCTGTAGAAACATATTTAAGGCAGAAAAACTTTTGCCTGGGTATCTTGAAAAGAGGAATTCTCACCCAAGTTCCATTACTGACTAGCTATGTGACCTTGAGCAAGTCTATTAAATTATCTCTGTCCTAAATTCCTGTTCATGTGATGAGGATCATTATACCTGACTTACAAAACATCTTGTAAAGGTAAAATGCTATAACTGTGGTGAAAGTACTTTGAAACTAATTAGTGCTGTGCTTATATAAGATGTTATTATAACAGTTTCATAATAATATAAAGAGATATTTTTGTTCTTTTAAATTGAAAAGAACATTAGAAAAATTTCAAACTTATAATTCTCAAGAGAAGCATTTCCCAAAGTGTTTTCACAGAACACTAATCTGTGAAATGCTCCAGGGCAAAAATACTGTTGTGATCCAAAATAGTTGGAAAAAGATACATATCTTCCTCTTAAAGATTCACAAGGCTAATGTAAATACTAAAGTTTCTTAGAGTCTTGCTTGAAGAAAACTTTTTTTTTTCTCTCAGTATTTAACCCAGGACTTCCAAAATTTATTAAGTCATCTTTCAGCAACACCTTTGAACATCTTATGAAACTATTTGGCTGACTATGCTATAGAAAATTTCCACAGAAGAATTCATATTTAAAAGCCCAAGATTCTCATTAATGCTAATGTATATTTTATCTCCATATGGAAAATTATTTAGCTATTTTATGAGTACCACCAATTCTGTTTACATTTAGAAAAATATACAAGTTTTTCTTCTACCAAAAATGTGTTCTACTTTCAAAAAATATTCTTGGAGTTTTCACCAAGATTTCTCCAATAACAATGTAGCCTAGTGGCATAGTAGTAACTCATTAGAGTTCATTAACATTGTTGTAGTCCTGTTATGCACAAATATTGTCAACCTTTAAAGAGTTCTTATTTCTCCACCTCTTTCTTATTTTATTTATGGTAAAAAAAAAATACTACATCCACAGTTCTTGGAATA